TTTAAGATACATTATGGAAATTTTGAGGTGTTATTGTGCATGTGTGAATATATAACCCACAGACTTTTATGTGAAAAGTTGTAAAACGTACTTTTCATCTAAAGTGACTGTAAGCTGCTATTTCTGTGTTTTTGCTGCGCTCGTCCCCAGCGGTCATACTCTGGGGAGAACATGGCCAGCGCCATCGCCCGCTCCTGTGCCAGCCTGGCTCTGTCCCTGCTTGTCCCAGTTCTGGTGATGTGGCAGAGGGACGCTCTGGTCCAGGTCCTCTCAGCTCTGCAAGCTGGCTTGCCGGACGCCCCCTCTGCAGATGACTCCCAGGCTGTCCAGTTCCACTCAGGCCTGGCAATGGGGATGGTTCTCTCCAGCCTGCACCACCAGAGCCTCAGGTACTGGATCTGAGAAGAGTTCCCAGTTAAACACATGAATGCAACCACTGATCAGTCTGTCTCTGCTGTTCAGCGATGTCTCTGCCCTGGGGGACACGGATGTCCTGTCCAAGTCTCTGGACGCTCTGGAAGGTTGCTGCTTCAACCCCAACCTGGAATACAAGTTAGTGGTCTGGTGCAGACAGGTCCAGAGGACATTCACCAGCAGTAAATACTAGAAGATGAAGCATTTTAGGATTCAGTAGATCAGTTTTTCTTCTCAGTATTTTAATGGACAGAAGCTTGAGCGTTTGTTACTCTGAGCTGCAGACGGAGGGCTTCAGTTTGTCTCGGATTTCAGCAAGTAACTACTGTAGAGCATTTTTCTGCTTCTTGTTCCTCAGCACTGGCTGCGTGCTGGGCCTGGGCCTGGTGCTGTCAGCACTCTGCAGCAGAGGACAGGTGGAGGAGCAGCTTCATGTCAGAAGAACCCTGGACAAGTTGCTGGACAAGCTGCAAAACAGCAGTGAACAGGGACGCATGCTGCAGGAGGTACATGCTTCCCTCACTGATCCAGTCATGACACTGCCTCTGTTTATTGTTTTCTACAATAAAATACTTAAGAAGAACCCATCAGTTTATTGTGATAAACATTTATCAGCCCCAGTGAGCAGTGGTTGACCTGATCTGATTTGTTCCTGCAGGTCCTGTCTTACTCTGTTGCTTGTGTGAGCGTGTCGGCCTTCAGCTGGGGGCTGATCCATGCTGCCAAGGCCGAGGAGGTCCTGAATGCAC